GGAGCGGGACTGAGATGGACGGAACCGGACTTTGATGGACGGGAGGCGAGAACTGACGGGCGGGATGGGATGGCACGGAGTGGGATGTGGAGGACGGGGCGGTGACCGGCTGGACAGCGGCGGGCGGGCGTGCGGTGGGTCGGATGGTGCGCTGCGTGGTGGCGGAAGCGGTTGGGAGGAGGGCGGTCAGTGGGCGTTGGCGCGCGCGACGGTTGCGACGCGGGCGGGGCAGAGGGAGCCGACTGTTCGCGGCGGCGGTAAGCGGCGCGAGGGGGCCTGGCGGGGCGAGGCGGGATGCGAGGGCGTGCAGATGCGCGCAAGTGCCTGCAGGGGGCGCGAGCGCGCGGAGGGCCGAGCGGCCGCGCCGTGGGTGCGGTCAGGGGCGGCGTCGGAATGCGAGCTGTTGCTGGACGAGGGCCCTCGCCACCCGGTGTAAGGGGCACCGACGCCCCTCCCACATGGAAGGGAGCCGCGAATACGTTAATCTTGGTGAAGTAGAGGAGAATGGCAAAATGTGCACCCGGTTACATTTAGGGGGGGGGTTTACAATGCAGTTTGGTGTCGCGACTCTGATTTAGGGATTTACTATGTTCTGGAGAAATAGTGAAAACCCTAAGTGAATATTTTAAAGTATAAACGTCAGTATTGTCAATATTCTAATAAAATGTATATTATATTATAACGAAAAAACAAGCCGCCAAAGAAGACAAAGGTATCCTTCTCAACATACCTATACTCTTCTACAGAATGGAAGCCCATTAAAATTCGTCAGAACCTCTCTTAGTATCCTATAATTAAAATAATAAAACACTAAAATGGTCATCATGAAAGTGTTTAATGTACAGAACGTTTACTAGCACGAACGATCTGCAATATCGCATCCAAATGCCTCCAGGAATATATTCAAGTGCAGTTGAATCATCAATACACTTAATCACATTTATAAAATACGCACCCCCAGAAAGACACGCGCGCAAACATACGCCGAACTAAAAGATACGTCATTTTCCGCGACAAAAAATCGATTTTTATGTACAGAACTAGTGACCTGCAGCAGCAAAAATGGCGTTGAACAAAACCGCATGAAAGAGTTCCCAATAAAGTAGTACGCGCACTGCACAAGAGCAACAAATAAAATGCTCTCACAAGACGCCGCATGTTATTAAATATTTTAATAAGATGTAAATAAAAATGGTTAATAGTGGAAGATATCGTCCTTGCAGCTTTGCTGTCGAATGATGTTGTATCTGCCGTAACCATTGATGCAGGGATAATGATCATTATTAGAATAGGCGGAATTATAGAATAGTAATAACGACCTTATGTTTCTTTCAAGAACCGAAAGAAAATTCGTGGTAGTTATAGTACATTAGTTCTAGTTTTTAGTTGTAGGAATTTCAAAACCAAATATTAGCTTTAACTCTTTGCATTTGGTGGATTGTCAATAAAGTAATTAAAGATGTTGTCATTGCCAATAATATTTTTTAATGCAATAGCAGCTTTCGATGGCTTAGCTATCATCATCAGTTGTCTGCTAGATGGAATTAAATAATATTGTTGGCAATGACAACATCTTTAATTATTTTAAAAATGCCAAAGATATCACACCACAACACCTATATTGTCAATAAAGACATCAAATTAGATAGCAGAAAATGAAATAAAGAACTGAAAGAATGACTTCTACTATTACCTATCAGAAAATATAGATTCGATAAAAATATTTCTGTTTTCAAGGCACTACTGAGAGCTGTATTTCGTTGTTGCTTACACAGTCCGAACTTCACCTAAACATTCTCTTATATCGCAGCTCGCAAACTTTCCAGTGCGATGTTCTACACATATACAATAATTATGAAAAAAGGCATTAAAACGTAAGTACAAATGTATTTCTTCCTGAAATATTGCAATCTATTCCAAACTATAAGACTTAATTCAGAAAAAAATGATGTAAATTTCACTACAATGTGAAAAACCACAACTTTACAAAGAATATAAACGGAGGAATTATAGTTACAATTACAGGAAATATGCTTTCAGGCAATACACAAAGATGTCACGTACGGGTAAATTGTATACTACGAGAAAACAAAACAGAAATGGAAAACAGGCGCGAATTCAACATTTTAATTCAATTTAATTTAATTTAATTTAATTTAATTTAATTCGTAATGGGGGTCATTGACCCGGACGCTGTAGTACATTATTTGTTACAAGCATATTAAGTCTTTTAAAAAAAATATACAATACAAATGTAAACTAATTTATTATATATCACTGTTTAGCTAATAAACATTATTTTTCTTCTTGTCGATCAATATCGTCTCTAATTGTATAGAAACGGTTATGCAGTAGAAAATATTGTTATTTTCACTTTGTGTACCGACTTCAATTGCTTAACGTCATTTGGCAATGCTTTGTAAAATACACTATAGATACACACTAAAATACACAATATATACGAAGGCGCCTGTGGGTGTCGCTTGGGAGAGAACTGAAATGCAATACCTTGGACAAAGCAACTGCATTAAATCCCGTGCAGCACGTTTCCTTGGAGAGGCACCGCACGTCGGGGTACATCTGTGCCCCGGCGGTTGCGGCCAAGGGCCCTTCCCCTTCTGCGCTAGCTTGGGGCCGGCGGCGAGGTGTTCCGACGTAGGGAAGGGAGTGTGCGGGCAGGGGGGGGGGGGGGCGGCGGCGAGCGCCGACCTACCCTGCCCCATTCCCAATTAGCTCCATTACTCGGAACTGATGAGATTCGCGAGCTGACAGTTATTAGTTGGCAACAGTTGCGCGGACGGCTGGTGCACTGCACCTCTCTGACCTCCAGATGTTGGCAGCCCCTGCGGCAGGTCCTTTGCAGTCATATTTACACAAGGGAAAGCACAATGCTATTTCTGGATTGTTAAAATGTTTACAAAAATAGCTACGTATAAGAAAGATCAATGTTTTAAAGTAGTAAATCAGAAACGAATTAAAATTTATAGCGTCACAATTTCCAGTATTTTTCAAGCGAATTTACCTGTTTACTCACAGACTCGTAATATGTTCATTCTTCGCTATGCCAGGAATATTGTTGTATTTGAGGAATTTGGTTTTGTATAAAATTCAACTTTAAATCACAATTCACTCAGAACACACAACTTCAGATTTTTAAAAACCTTTGAACATTTATCGGAGATGAATCTATTCTGCGGTGTAACTAATTAAAGTGGACATGACGGTCAAACGAAGGTTATTTCACACACACACACACACACACACACATGTATATATATATATATATATATATATATATATATATAGTAATTTTATATAAGTTAATTTCCATCAATTTGTATTCAAAAATTTGCGTCGTTGGTAAGGAAAGGTTACTAACGATCAAATATTTTCAGCTAAAGCCTAATCTCTCATCACTACCTCTTGCTATATAGTCAAATAATTACCAAGTTTAGGACAGGAAGAAAACACAAACTGTTTGAATACAACGATCGGGTCCTTTATTGAACCTTCATCAGCAAAGTGTCATTATGGTTAAGAAACAAGTTTCTTAAAAATAGATATTAATCCAAGACTTTGTATGTCCGTCAATGCCAATGACATTCATCGACTGATATTGACGGCATGACTATTTATGAATAAGTGAACCTCTACCACGCATTTTGCGTACATGAGATCAAAAAAAAGTACATTTACCAATAGTTTTTGCTCTTCATAACCATTAGCTCGGGATATCGAATTTCAAGTCAACGACCGGCAATGTGACCAACACCCTCTCTCTGACTTTTATTGCAACCCTCTCCATGTAAATTAAGGAGCGATATGGATTTTTCATAAGACATTTGATTAATTTCCCCGCAATATTGAGCTCCCTTCTCGATCAGCAGGGCGAATGCAAAACGGGCCTACGCAGCATTTCCGCAAGCGAGCAGAACTTCCACGACGAAGGGGTTGCCATTCTTGATTACTTCCACTCAACTTTTATAATATTAAAAATCGCGTTTGCGAGTGCGCAGTAGCGTCATAGGAACTTTCAAATAACGCAGATTGGGGAGGGTCCCGTATTTAGATTGTCTCAACCTTTCGCTGACGATAACTCAATATTAATGATAAATAATCGGCAACTGTCATTTATGAATGGATACGCTTTTTTTCGTACCAAAGACATTGTTTCTCTGCCCAATAGGAGACAAGGAGAAGGATAGGGTGGGCTCGAACGATAAACTATTCCGTGATTGCTTTAAAAGCGTGCTCGAACTTTAAAAAAAAGTCTGTTTCAATCGTTATACGCTTCAAAAGCAAAAAAAATAATAGATACAAATGTGGCTACAACATACTTTTACGAGTAAATACATCCAAAGTAACTGTTTTTTATAGTAACATCAATTCACTAAACGTAATAAAATGATTAAATTGTGATATCATTAATTAATAATAATTTATAGTGAATTTAAAATATAATTAATATTATTATTACCCAAGAGATATCTTTTTTACTTTTATTTGCATTTTTTATTTACTTTTACTAGGATTTTCTTTTTGAAAAAAAGATTTTTGTACGTCAGATTTATTCACTATTGAATATTGTATGAAATCTTTTCAAATACTCATAATTCTGTGAAAAGGCCAGCAACACATTTCTAAGAATGTTTAGTTTACCAACAATACTTTATTGCTCAACAGCATGTTTTAATTGAATACAGTTTGTATTTTAAAAACATTTTATATGAAAAAACTATGAGTATCACCATCGCGGAAAATGACCAGCAATCAAATTTAGTATCGTGCTTTCGCGTACGGTGAAACTAGTGCGAAGCCTCTCATTCAACCTGCGCTGCAAAAACAGCGTCCAGCCGGAAAACCGCTGTTTAGCAGCACCGAGCTCCAGAGGCAACGGCCCTGGGGGAATTCCCCGGATGTGACGTAAGCGTCGAGTCCCGCCACCTGTTTCGTCCACGCTTAAAAAGGAAGCTTCAACTGCCCGCAGAGCAGTCCATACCATGACGACGTTTCTAGCAGTTTCGGTTATTGCGGTGTTAGTTTCCTCGATCTCCTGCAACCAGTATCGCCCTGATGCGTCCAAGATATCCGATTATGACAACTACAAAGAGGACAAGTCGTACATCGGGAAGGAGATAGCGTGCACCGCCGAGGAAAAGGAATGTTACAAGCTCGGCCGCGTGCTGTACACGGATGGCAAGTGTTACATGCTGGCTCACGTCGGGCCTTGCAAAGAGCTGGAGCTGCATTTCAGTAGGGAGAAGGCTCGAAACGGCGAGTTCAAGCCGGAGTGTCAACCAGCGTTCAAGTGCGGCACGCCCAACGAAATGTACATGGCTTACGACGGGATCTGCTACCAATCCGAGCTCATCCACGAGGTGTGCGACGTTCACAAGAACCTCACCGTCAGCCAAAACCTGTTCGGCGAAATCCACTGCCGCTGTTTCGGCGACGGGTGCCCTCCGCGGCCGGCGGTCAGCCAGCCCGAGGAGCCCGGGCGCTGCCGCCTGCCCGATCTCATCCACGAGGGCTTCCCGTACTGGCACGACAACCTTCGCGGCCGCCTCTTCCCGTGCTCCGCGGAGGAGCACGCGTGCCTCAAGCAGGGAACGATGCTGCACGAGGGCACCGGCGCGTGCCACCGGCTCCTGGAGCGCGGGCCGTGCCCCGAAGGGCAGCAGTTCGTGGCCGACCGCGCCGCTTTCCAGGAGCGCGGTTGGTTGCTGGGAAGGTGTGCCCCGCCCTCCTGTCCCGATGGGCACGTGCGCATGCAGTTCGACGGGCAGTGTTACCCACTCGACGTCGCCCTCAATAAGATTTGCCCGCCTCATATTCTCGTGCGTGATGTGTTTGGGGATAGTGGGTGTGGTTTTGACCAAGATCTCGATGTGAGCAAGCACCTACCGCGTGATGTGACGGCAAAGGGAGAGTGCTATAAACCGCAAAGGGGATTTTAGTGCGAACATCTTCCGTCAGAAACCGAATTTGAACTGAAGAGTTATTTACTTTTTGTTCATATTTTGGTGATAATAATAAATAGTAATTTAACTGAAACATGCCATGTATATATTTTTACGTATCACTTTCTAATAATATAAATTCCAGAATTAATCGATCAATTATGTGCCGTGGGTAGTATACATATAATTTCAATTTTGTGACATTGTCATTTCATATTTTGTGTCATCGGTAGTTTACCAATTGTGTGCCATCTGTAGTTGAACATGTTCTAATTTATGGAAAATTCTGAGAACATGATTCTATTTGGAAAATTTATTTTCATTAAATACTTCATACTTATTTTTGTATTCTACCTCAATTATATTTTATTTCACCTATTTATTGTTAAGTAACAAAAAATGTAATGAGATGAGAAATACTATATGATACAGTAATATACTTACATAATCCATTACAAACCAGTTAGATAAATTAAATATTAAAATTATTGTTTAGGAAACAAAACCAAACCAAAAAGAACCAAAAGCATAAAAAGTAAATCTGATACGCGGAAATACACGTATCAATGTCATTAATGTAATGTTCACAATTTTTGTCCTAGCTCATGATTACGGAATATGCAATTTTGGTGAATTATAATTAATAATACTAGTTTGACTTTATATTGGCTGTATTACTCTAAATTTTCTAAGTTGATTCCTTATCGAAAAAACATCTCGAATAAATTTACAATACACGGATGCATATGAGCTAATTTGTCAAAGGAAAATTTATTAACATCATCTGCCTATTTCGCCAATATATTTCTGTAGCATAAATACTGTGTATTTTAAAATGTTTCATTAAAAACTTTCTATATATAGTTAAATAATAGAAATTATTTCAAAAACCGAATACTTCAAAACATACTGAAGATGTACTTCGGTCCAGGTAACTATGTCGTTAATTTCGATGCCTGACACAGGGAAGAAATACGTAGAAGAAGAGTTGAGAGTTAGCATTGAACTTGCAGCAGGAAAAGATGAAAGTTAAGATTCAGAGAGAAAGGTTAAGGTCAAGGTCAGATAGATTACTGTAAGCAAAATCCACACGAAATGCATCAAAATAAGCACCGTACATACAAATTACAGAAGTTTTAGAGATAAAAGTTACGAAATTATGTAAATGATGTAAAGTACACTCATTTAGCGGACATTAAATATCACTATGTCCTTGCATAAGTAAAATTATCCTAATTTAGTAAAGAGAATAATTGAAGAGTTAATTTCCGAAGTGTGGTATCTCAAGGAAACACAATTTTCCAGGAAAAGAAAATATTCACATTCAGTCTTGTAGTTCAAGACTAGTAGTATTCATTGTAGTATTCAACGGTTTTCGAATATGGATTAACATAAAAGAAACGCAATTTTTGAAAACAATAATTTGTAGCATATTGGAGGAACGTCTTAAAAATATGTCGTAGATAGTACGTAAAAGTAGAAAGAGAACAAATAGAAAACAGAAACGTCACTTTCGAAATAAGCTATTCAATCTTTCAAGTACAAGCATGTTTGCTTAAACGAAGCTATAGCAGATGACATCAACGAAAAATCACGCAATCTCACCGCTTTAAAGAACCGATGAAGACTCTTGGAAATTCTTAAGCAGAGTTGAGTTGAGTGAGAGCGATCACAATTACTATTTTGCAACTATCGCGCTGCATTCTGCTCTTTGTAATAATATACATAATACAATTTAATATCGTGAGTGGAATATTACTCATTGCCAATAATCAATTTTTCTGTATTCTCCAATTTAAATGTAGTTAATTCTGACACTTTATCAGCTGGGACGCGGTTACCTAATCGGGAGCTTCAATACCAAAAATTTAGTGTTAAGAAAGTTCCCAACGTTCCTTAACGAATCTCCCGTGTCCAGCTAATCAAAAGTAAGACGTCATTATATGTCAATCGAAGTATAAACCAGGACTGATCTTTAAATCGAATACAGAAAATAGGTATCTCCACACTAAACTCGTTAGTATCAGTTTTTTAAGAAAATTACATTGTCCCTTCAGTTGTCTAAGACATTTAAGATCAAAATATTTTACACAAATGTATTGAAAAAAATGTTATTCAGTTTTGAAAACATTATTTGGAAGTAATAAGTTTATACATGAAGTGTTGTGCGAAACAGGATTACTATTTACACTGTCTTCTTGGAATCGTTCCAAAGAAACACACGTGTCCCAGTGTTAATGGTGTAAATAAAGTTCAAAACGATTTAAAATTCACAATTTATTACCAAGGAATGGAAGTTACTTCTAAAGTAGGTAGGCGGAGAAGCAAACTAAAATATCACATTGAAAACAAATATGTAGAAGATATGAACAAAACTGTTAATAAACCATTGGAGTGTACCTTTCATTTTCAGAACAAATTTTTCTCCCTCTGAAAGGAGAATAACACCCACTTCTTTGAACCTGCTGATTATTTATCTCGACTCCAATCTGCCTTTCGCAGTGCTTCGAAGCAGAAAGATGATGTTTATAATGAGCGTGAATGACCTTGCCAGGCGGAAATCACAGACGTACCTTCGTGGGAAGCCCCCGGTCTTTGCAATTCATTCCATCACCTTCATCTCTTCTTGGTGTGTATACTGAACACCAAAGCACACGAGATGTCTGCGTTTTCAAGTCAACATCTTAAAATAAAATACACACAGAGGTGATGAAGAAACTTTTATTTCATAATATAATGTGAAATACAACCTCCGTAAAATAAACGATTAGTATCCATATTCTATGGAATTTGTTCAATTATAAACATTAAGTAAAATGACGACTACAACCCATGTAAATTGTTTACTATAATTTAATATTTAATTTGATAAAGCGCAAGATCAACTAAACATTTTAATTTTGTACAGGTAGAATAAATTCATTAGTCGTTTTTGTGTGATAATGTCTAGGGTTGGTTGTGACCGTTGGTCTCCGCTTTGCAATTCCTTTACATGTTATTTGTTATGAAGCAATGTCAGATAAGATGATTTTTAGTTCCGCAAAACCCATGTCATATACGTATAATCTAACATTTAACTCACATAATGGATGTCTTGCACTAGGAAAATGTGATTAGATAACAGCGTATCTACTTTTGAGCTAATGCTACGAATGTATCTATATACTTAAAAGCTACAAAAACAATTCATTTAATTACTTATTAGTTCAACAATTCTGGTTAATGCATTATGCGTTTCAGACAAAATTCCACAGGCTTCAAATAACGAAATTGAAGTTACAAATACAATGCTACTATTATACAGGGAAACGTATAATATATATTTCATTTCTTTTCCTTGCAAATCTCATTTATAGCAAATATATAAACAAGTTAAAAAATACATTCATATAAATTTTTGAAATTATGTTTCTTATTATTTTTGCGACAAAATGTATTATCGGAGCATTTAAAAATTAAGCATGTTGACAGAAATTAAGGACCGTTTTTTGTAAATCCGATAAATTCAAAAGATTCAATACAGGGTTTAGTTTATAGTTAGATATCTTTTGACCCGTTTTACCATCTCTCAAATGGGAACGCTCCTCACTTGGTTTACAACCCAGTAATACGGAAGGGATACTTGCTTTCCACAGTTTACAATAAAAGAATGCAATAAACGTAGCATTTAATTAATAATTGCAAACACACATTTATTTTAATGCATTTAAAGATCCATCTCTGCATATGAAGAAGTAATAAATTCATTACTGCATATAAAGAAGAATACGAGAAAATTTGAACTGTTCCTAGTAAGAATATATGCAAAATTTGTCTGAAAACTAATAATAGTTTACAAATCAGTAATACAATATTTGATGGAAATTCAAAGCCGCGGTATTGCTAAAAGAGCTTTCGGTCGCTAATCAATTAACGCTTATTCGCTCCAAAATTTATTTAGTGAGTGATAGTAAAAATTGTTCGCGATGCATTGTGGACCAGTCGGTGCACTGCTTGTTACGTAAGAGAAACTGCGGCAAATACTGGCCCACTTCCCTCTGCCTGTCGCCCCCACAGCCGCCGTCCCCAAACACATCGAAGACGAGGCCTTCCGGAGGACACAGCTTGTTGATGGCGTCTTCCCGCCGGTAGCACTTTCCGTCGAACTGCATGCGCACCTGGCCCCCGGGACAGGACGGGGCGCTGCACTCGGGCTGCAGGAGGCCGTGAAGCCGGAACGCCGTCTTGTTCGCCACGAATCTCTCGCCGTCAGCGCACGGCCCGCGCTCCAGCAGCGTGTGACATACGCCGGAGGGCGCGAACCGCATCTTCCTCTGGGACAAACACTCGTGCTCTTCAGGGGTGCACAGGAATGAGCGGAATGAAAGAGGGTTGGCCAAGTACGGGAAGTTGTCCCTGGCGAGGTCAGGTATCCGACAACGGCCGGGTTGTTCAGGCTGCGTTACTTCTCCTGGAACCGGGGGGCAGTCGCTTCCATAACACCTGCAGCTTGTCTCGCCAAAGAAGTTGGAGTACAGAATCGCAGAATGGTTACTGCGACGGCACACTTGTATAAATGAATCAAGTGTGTAACATTTTCCGTCATACGCCGCTAAAATAATTTCCGGTGGGTCACACTGGAACGATGGTATGCATTCTGCCTCGTATTTTCCAACTTCCGCCTTGGTTTTGTTAAACTGCAACAAATTATGATTCTCGCAGTGCCCTCTGTGTTGGAGCATATAGCATTTTCCGTCTGGTTGCAGCACCCGGTTAAATCTGAAACAATCTTTTTCTTCTTCGGTGCAGTCAATCTCTTTGCCTATGAGTGTATTTTGTTCCACGTAGTAGTGAAGTTTTCCTTGTTGTAAGCGCGGTGAATGTTCTTCGCAGCTGCCCAAATGCAACAGCGCAAAGGCCGAGAGGAGAAACGCTAAGGTCGCATCCATCACGACGACTGCCGTGCGGGCTCCGGCGGCTGCTGTTTTATTTCGATGGTGAGTAGGCATAATTCGTGG